GGTGTTCCTGATGTTGAAGCTGATGAATTAAATTCAGCTGTTGATGTGAAGAATGCAGGTACAGCTCATGGGTTTGATGATACTTCCTTACCGTTAACGAATAGATCGTAAACAGCGTAGGCGAATACTGCAATAGCAGCAACTGAGATGATTGATCCGATAGATGAGATATAATTTCATTCTGCATATGCGTAGGGGTAGTCAGGAATTCGTCGTGGCATACCAGCGAGCCCTAGGAAGTGTTGCATAATGTATTCTAGAAGCTCTTTGAGAGCTTCTTATTTACTCCAAGACTAGGATTTCGGCTATAGATTACTCCATTGATAGGAGTTAGATTATCTACATGTGAGACAAAGTTAGAGTATAGCATATTCACTCGTGCATGGGCAGCAGTAATAGATGAGAGAGTTTCAATCAGTACATGAGTATTAGCATCAAATAGGTAAATACTCATTCCTCGTGGAACAGGTGTTACAGAGAAGGTATAAGATGTCCCGTTCTTAGCAACTCATGTACCATTAGAGTTAATGAAAGGTCGAAGTGTCTTAGAATCTACTGGTACTCCAATAGACTTAAATCAGATAGTCAATGCTCGAGCAGAATCTACCGATGCAAGGAGAGCTCCATTGATATCATAGATCTTAATAAATAGTTGAAATCGATTACCCAAGCCAGGTGCAGCAGCATATAGTAGTTGTTCAGCAAGAGTAAGCGGTGTCAAAGAAAGAATAAGATTCAAGGGTCCATGTAGATGACAGAAGTTGATTCGACTCATTAGTGTCCCCATATTAATCCCTAGTGCAGCCATAGCATAGTTGATCGAACTATAGATAATCGGAGTAGCTCCAACATGAGCGTAGACTCATAGCGGCTTACCAATCAAGGTATTGACAGCTGGATTCATTAGCATACCTACACTATTAGCGAGAGTATATCGGTTAAGCATCTTAGCAAACTGAAGATATTGATGGGATCCTTCTGCAAATAGCAGCATAAATTGTGCAGCCATATTCAGGGCGGGATCCATATTCCCTCACTTAGGATCTACTAGTGGTTCTACCAGCATATTATTGTTGATAGTAGGCAAGTAGGTATAGATAACTAGTTGTTCCAAGAGTCGTACTTCTACTGGCAAAGCAATATCCAAGATAACTAGAGTTCAGTTATCTGCGCTTGTAGCTGCTAGTTCGGTCTCAGCTCGACTTGCAGGAGATCGTGCTCCAGTAGTCAAGTTGAAATATTCAGTCATACGTCGTCCAAGATTAACTGTGCTTCCAATGTAATATCGTGTGGGATCAAAAGTATTAATCAACATATATACACCAGGCACTCCAGTAAATCCAGCAGCGTGATGAGAGATAAATGCAGCTAGAGAATGATACCCGAATGGAGTTTGATTGGGTACGTTGTCCTTAGTAAGGACGAAAGGTACTGCTGCCATGAATGAGAAAAGTGAGCCATGGAAACTTAGATGAATTAGTTGCAATTATAAATATCTCTGTTCCTAGTCTTAGGTTAATCTTATGAGTAAAGTTTTGACTATACAATCATCCACTCTCTTTGAATGTAACTCAGAGTGTAAGCGTTACTTACAAGGTGGAACTGGGGTCTAGTCGATGAAGCATTGATAATGAGGTGCGAGTATACTTACACTACTCATATAACGCCTGCTGATTGAGTTAAGATAACTGTTCCAGCAATTGACCCAGTTTTACTTCCCCCAACTTAGAAACATCAGAGATGTTTGTAAGATTTACTCCTACAAATAGTACTCAGAAGTGAATTTGTCCTAGCATTTTATTGTATGTCTTACCAACAATCTTAGGTGCTCAGTAATAGAATCCAGCAAATAGTCCGAATACAGCTCCCATTGAAAGAACATAGTGGAAGTGCATTAGATTGATGTAAGAGGTATTTAAACTCTTCGCTATTACTCACGTGACAGATAAGACTATGTCATTACAGCATATCCTGTTGGTATGCCATAGAGTATCGGCGCTCGTGTCTGGGTTATTGCATTAGAATTAGCTCACCAATTAGTCGTTGAACCTTGGAACACCTTAGGGGTCCCCAAGGCTGCAAATCTACCTATTTTGATTGATAGGTGTTCTTGGCCATTCACTTTTTATTCAACATCAAACATCTTAGATGTTTCAGCTTGTGTTTAACATACTAGGAAAAAGGTTAAGTAGGAGTTTTAACATGAGAAAGTCGACTTGTGGCATGTACCAAGATAAGCCACCGTTGGTACTGCTCTCCCTTCAGCCAAACACCATAGGTGTTTCGGAGAAAGAGAACAAATGAATCACAGCTGTTAGGTCCTTCACAGAAGAAACCCTCAACTGAAGATACCGTGTTCCCGTCACCTTACGAGTGGTACGGAGTACTCACTTGATCGCCTCAAAAAGCTGTATGTGACCCACAGAGCGTTGTTTCAAGGAGTAAAATAGTTCACCTGAAGTTTTTAAGAAGAAGCTTCCCTCAGACATAGTAAATCCTACGATCCAATTAAGGAAGAAGGGCATGGCTATGTAACCAGAAGGGATTAAAGGTAATGAAGATAGGCTGTTCCTACGACTTAAGGTGTTAATCCTAGAAAATAGAGTAATATCACTCATAAAAAGAGCAAGGGCGAGTTCATATTGAGCTCGGCGAGTGGTTGTCAAGAAGAAGATACCATGATAGAGCATTAATGGAAATAAAATTTCCTGAAGATCTTTTCGACAAATGATATATTTCACGCCCCCACGAACACCTAAGGGGTTCCTCTGGCCGGTTCTATCCTACTGGCTGGACTTATTCTTAAACTGGCAGCAAACATCAAAGCTCTAAGAGCTTCTAAGCTTCTTCCCAGATGCTACTAGTTACTTCTCACCTCTAGAAACATCATAGATGTTTTCGTAACACTTATCTACTCATCACTAGCTACTATCCGACAAGTTGACTTTAAAGCTCTTGTGGCTTACTCATCTATTGGACATATGGCAGTAGTGGTTCTTGGTCTATTCTCTAACACAGTAATCGGTATCGAAGGTGGTATTGCTCTAAGTATTGCTCATGGGGTTATCTCACCTGCAATGTTCATCTTAGTAGGTGGGGTGCTTTATGATCGGTTCCATACTCGTGTAATCCGGTACTATCGAGGTGTAACTGTATACATGCCCGTGTTCTATGCGCTATTCTTCGTAACGACAGCTTTCAACATGGCGGTACCTCTTAGCCTTAACTGGATTGGTGAGTTCCTATCACTTGCTGGTATCTTCCAACGATCGCCTCTAGTTGGTATCCTAGGTGCTTCCAGTATTCTCCAACACCAAACGTGTTGTATACCCAAACCTCTTTGATGTTTTGCCGATACTTAACATATACTACATACGTATCACGACGAAAATTCGAACCCCTTGGGTGTTCCGCTCTAGTTGTTGCTCTTGTCTTTGGTATTGTACCTAACCTTATCTTAGGTGATCTACATGTTGCAGTATCTACTCTTCTATACACAACCTAATGCTTCTATATCTACTTATCTAATCCCCAGCAAACATCATAGATGTTTGGAGCAGAAGATCACTAGGTCATATAGACGTCTTTTCTTAGCTCTACCTTTCAGATCATAAGAGCATATCATGTTTGTGCTAAGCTAGACATAGGGGTAGAAACATCATAGATGTTTTACTGTGTTTGCATCACAGCTACCAGGGTTCGATTCCCTGCATATCCATGGCCACAGTGTCATTATCTGATTGGTATACGATGTGCAACATGCTAATAACAACATACTAGCATAACAACAACAACGACAACATAGTATGTCTAATCGCTTCGATAGCTCAACTGGTCAGAGCACAGTACTGAAGATGCTGGGGAAGAAGTTCAAGTCTTTTTCGAGGCCAGATGCATGATCTATATGTTCGAACACCTTTGGTGTTCAATAGGGGACGTATTACAAAGGGAAGGGGCTCAGAGTGGTTAATGGAACTGGCTGTAAACCAGTTGGCTACGGCCGTCGGAGGTTCAAGTCCTTCTCACTAAGCACACATAGTCATGCAATGAACACCTAAGGTGTTCGGGTATACGCGCAATAACGCATACTATCGGGGGATTTGCTTAATGGTAGAGCACTGTTTTTACACAGCAGCGGCAAGGGTTCGATTCCTTTATCCCTTATCATAAGATCACTTAGACGAATACCAAAAATGGAACAATCACATGTTATACCAACACGTGACATAGGAAAGCTTAACAACATCGTTACGTATCAGAAAGATTTAGGCGCTACGCGCCGCCAAAGAGATCCAATAGTCCCGAAATAGGGGTATACTTATGCCTATTAGCTACTGCTGTATCATATGACTTTAAGAACTGTATCTAAGCTATAGATTATATGCTAGACTACTAATGCTCGGCTGCTATCGTTACAAGACCTTAGTAGCATGATTATATACAACAACTATATGTTACAACTATTACTACCAATTACTTACAATGATGCACCAGAACCATGGCAAATGTCGTTCCAAGATGGAGCGTCACCATCATTCGAAGGTATTACGAAACTGCACAACTCTATTTTCTTCGACTTCTTTTGGGGGCCCCTAGTAATAATTAAAATAGGTGTAGCATGGTTTATGGTCCCTTGACCCAGTAGTATAAACTTATGCTCTAATACATTCCCATCTATAAATATCAAATGTGAAACTTCGGATCACTACTAGGTCTTTACCTAGGTATCCAAATCAAAGCTCCCCGAGCTTTGCTGTATACACCATCAGTAGATCTTGCATTCGTATCAGTAGAACATACTATTCAATAGTCCTTATGATGTGTTCTTTAAACTTCGCTAATTGCTGGAAACTCCTATTAAGGATAATCAGCAGGAAACCTAACAGTATAGTATACTAACCAATTAACTGGGAATCTCTTTAGCATAGGAGATTGTATGCTTATACTTCGGGACTCTTCAGAGACTACACGCGAAGCTCTCAGTTGTTATGTCTTTTACTGAGAGATGATATAGTCCAAGGCTAAGATCAGCCAGTGTGGACTATCAGGATTCGTACTATCACTGTACAAGAAGGATGTAAAGCCTTTGGATGATTCACAGTTTGAACAATGACTATCAGGATTCATTGACGGAGAAGGTAATTTCCAAGTATTCTTTGATCGTAATTATCTACGGACTATGTTTCGGATTAACTTGCATATTGATGATGTTGCAGTACTTTATCGGATTCAAAAGTTCCTAGGTGTAGGGCGAGTAGAACAAGGTAAGACTAGTGCAGTATTTGTCATTCGATCCACTGTTGATCTACTTAGTGTACTTATTCCTCTATTGGAACGATGACCACTTCTAACGAACACCTAAGGTGTTCTCTAGATTATCTGGATTTTAAGCAAGCAGTATTGCTACTATCTAATGTAACTTCAGCTGTTACTGGTGCTAATCTGAGCTGAGCTAAGACTTGCATTGCAGGTATGAATTCTACTCTCCCGCTAGGGCAACACTATTTAATCTCGCTGCTATTCCTTCAAAACATCTCTGATGTTTCCTATTTATTGACTACTAGGATTCATTGAAGCAGAAGGAACATTTGGGTTTAAGAATCTAAAAAGCTCTTAGAGCTTTTCCTATTCGAAGTACTCACGTTCTTACTGCTATCACAACATACCTTCAATCTATGCCTAATCTTTATGGGTTCACTCTTGACTCACCTGCACTTAGTGTTAATAGTCTACTTAATCGTAAGACGAATGTACTCGTACTCTCACTAACAAATATTGACTCTCTACATGATACTCTTGCACAACATCTACTACCACTATAATTACAAACTCTGCCGCTAGGCGATAGGGAGTAGACTTTATGTATTGATGTCTAGTGCTATTCATGCACAAGTTTGGTCATTATTACCTACCAGAGGGACGAGCACTAACTGTAGCAATCGCAGGGTATATTAATAGCTCTCTCCCCTTAGGGGCCACACTACTTCAGGCCTAAATCCTCCAGTACCTGTTATCGATCCCGAACTATTTAATATTCCACTTCCTGTACTTCTTACACCTCAAATGAGTCATCTTGTACTAGCACAAACAATGGCTATTGTACTAAAGCATCGAGGTCGAAGTATCTGAGTATATGATAATGATAAGCTACTACCAGGTAGTCCTTTCAGTACTCAAGCTAACGCTGCGGAAGCAGTAGGACTTGTCCGAACTTCAATGACAGTGCGACGATATCTTTATACAACTAAGCTATATCTTAATCGGTATAGTTTCCACACTACTCGTAAGTCGCAATAAGCGCAGTATATTCTATTCTTTTCCCATTTAGAATATAGGCTGATCTTCTATAACGATTTGTATACCTAAACATGTTGCTAGCAGTGAACCGAAGTTCCACAATAATATCTATGCGACTAGCTTATGAATCTGCCCATTCTAGGGGACTTCTTGACAAGCCGCGCACTTGATACTACACTAGTCTCCCGTCTCCCTTATACGGGCTAGGCCATGTGGATAACCAGAATCTTAGATAATCAAGGGCCAAGATTCATTTGAGCGGCATACTATAGCATTCCCCATATTGATTCCTGATACCCTGTTAGGCGGGATCCCAAACATCTTTGATGTTTCTTGTTACAGACGGGTTATTTTGTAGCGACGTCCATTTTCAACCGTGCCTCTTAATACAAAGTAAAGAAGACGAAAGGTGTCGATCTCATATCAGATTTATTCATAGGGCCGCCCGCCAGATTCTAATCATAAGCTTCCATTCTAAAAGGGATTTACCCGCTTTCATCTCAAAATGTGGTTCCACTCCGGTTCCACAGAGTAAACGTCTTATAATTCGTAAGGCCTCCACTGAGGTTCCACTTCGAGCGTAGAGCATATTAATCAGCCCGAAACACCCCAGAACTTTTTTGGGAATTTAATTCCCCTCAGCACCAAAGTCCACCATAAGATTCTCGGGAATCTCTAAGAATTAGAGAACTTATTAGCTATGTTTATGTGTGCTGTGTCCTGTGCGTAATGCTATGCAGATTCGAATCCTCGATGAGCCAATGGAGTTTTAGAACATTCGTACCAGCTTATAAAAGAGTTTGAGCTGAGCTCCCAGGAGAAGCATTTTAATGGGGCGAAGGGCCCGTAAGTAGTGCTGCATGATCCAACAATCTGAATTTAATGGACTGTTTTGGTGGTTCCTCTAGTCACAATGGTTATCCGACGGCCATATTCTCTACAAAACTTGAAGGACGGTCCTTGATTTTGGTAGTTAGATATAAGATTCCCTAAAGCCCACATTGTTCTTCTTTAATCTCTGTATTCTCCTACTATCTCAACTGAATACCAGCTATTCTTCCTAATATGAGTCAGGGTAGCTTATAGTAGGTTTTATGCTCACACTCGGACGTTCACGTCCCTTTTGAAGTAGGAACTCCTGGCAATAGATTATGAGAGGCATACTAAACAATGGAGACAATTCTTAGTGTAACGGGAATCTAAAAGATTTAAGGATAACCAATTTGAAGCCAGCGAAGCTCTCTATCGGCCGCAGATGAGTGAATCGTAACCTTATGTGTATGTATAAATGATAACCTTCTTTCTTGTCACTAGTGCCGGCTTCTCAGAGACAAGCTTTTTTATCCAGCGGCGCACCAGAAAGATGATTCATCCAAAAGTCGATTTGGGCCCATGGAGTAACTTCCCCGAGATAGAGAATGAACTCTGGTTATAATATCGAGCCAAACCATTAGCCGTCAAAGTCCCGACCGGCCCAATTTCGCACCCAATAATCTTTAGGACACGTGCAACCGATATAGATACAATAAATGATACGCGTCTATAGAAATCTTATTTATTTTCAGCAAAGCTCGGGGAGCTTTGTGGGGTTGTCTCGTCATCATACAAGACATTCTAATGGTTGATTAATCTACTTCTCAATCAAGACGAATAAGACTGTACATAAAACCGACTTAGAGATGGCAATGATCATTTGCTATAAAGCATCTTAGAGTTCCGGGGGTAATCCCAAGGGCTAGGTCCATCACAAAAGCTAAATAAGTGTCACAAAGTTAAACCAAGTAGCATATGGCCATACAGGCTACTATTTAGCAGTCTAAAATGCACTATAACCTTGGTGGGTAAATATTTCACCTTCGCCAAGGGGACGCCCTATGGCGGGCGGACCCATCGAGCAATGCACCACCTTTTATGCTCTGCGACCAGGGAATTTAATCAAGAGATTCTCGGGAATCTTTAAAAAG